TCTCTCTCTATCTCATTCTCTCTCTCAAATAAATAAAATCTGAAAAAAAAAAAGAAAAAGAAATGAGCTATCAAGCCATGAAAAGACATGGAAGAACCTCAAATAAATACTACTAAGTGAAAGAAGCCAGTCTGAAAAGGCTTCATACTATATGATCCCAACTATACGACATTTCGGAAAAGGCAAAATTATGGAAACAGTAAAAAGATTGGTGATTGCCAGGGAGAGGGTGAAGGGAGAAATGAAGAGGTGGAATACAAAGGAGTTTTAGAGCAGTGCAGCCATTCTGTATAATGCTAAAAGTATGGATAAATGTCATGCGTGATACATTTGTCAAAACCCATAGAATTATAACACCAGGAGTCAACTGTACCCCATGAGGAGCTGCTCAGCGTGGGCACCTAGAGAGCGAGCTCAACCAAGCAGGTGGGGAGCAGAAGGTGAGTGTCCGTGGGAAAGTACTTTTACTGGGGGCCGGGATGGAGTACGCAAGAATAGGTGGGAGAGGATGTCACTGATACATTTGAATGTTGATAGGTCACATTCAGGGGAGGGCAAAGGGGAAAACTTGTGGCAGGGACCAGTCTTCTCACTTTTAGGTAACCTGGTCATTTGGTGGAGTGCTCGCAGCCTATTTGTGTGGCTGTTGAGGCAGCAGAAAAATATGAAGTTTTAAAATTTACAATACAGCGAAATGGGTGAAGGGGGTAAAAAGGTACAGACTTCCAGTTACAAAATAAATAAGTCATGGGGATGTAACGTACAGCATAGTGGCTAAAGTTAATAATATTATATTGCATATTTAATGCTATAGTTGCTAAGAAAGTGGATCTTAAAAGTTCCCATCACAAGAAAAAAGTTTTGTTAACTGTATGGTGATAGATGTTAACTAGACTTATTGGGGTGATCATTTAGCAATATCTACAAATATCAGATCATTGTACACCTGAAACTAATACAATGTTATGTCAATTAGAATTTTAAAAATTACAATACAATCTACTTTGTGGTGTCTCAACATCATTAACAATACTAATTGGGATGATAACGCTTGCCACCTGGGTTGAAGGTGATTGGGATGGGCAAACTTTGATAAAGGGAAAAACTAGGAAGAGTCCTATTAGTCATATGACAAGGGTTGGGACCCAGTTCTCAACCAGGTACCCCACTGTGTGGGAGAAAGCCAAGAGAACAGGTTGGGCACTCTGGATTTAAGGGAATCTGTTGGAAGATTTTGGTAATGTCATGAAAGACTTTTATCTCTTGGCCTAATCTTCACAACTTGACCTGACCTACACATCTGTCAGTATCGTTAAACCATAGTGGTATTCTGACGGATTAATACAATTCATCCAGCTGGGCTGGGTGCATGGAATGTATGAGCCAATTCAAGAACAAGTCTTGAAGAGCCAGGTGTCCAGAGACCTAAGGGAAAGGACTGGGTAAAGCAGTAGTAACCATTGGGAAGTTGATATCCTAAAACTAACTCCAGAGAAAGCAGTGTCCATGGGGATTCTGACAGTCCAAAATCAAGTCTCACAGTAGCAGTGCCCAATGGAAATTGGTAGTCCAAAAACAAGTCCAAAGGGGCACCTGGGTGGCTCAGTCAGTTAAGCATCCAACTCTTGATCTTGGCTTGGGTCTAGATCTCAGGGTCATGAGTTCAGACCCCGTGTTGGGCTACATGCTGGGCTTGGAACCTGCTTAACAACAACAACAACAACAAAAACTCCAAAGAGACAGCAGATGAACTTGTTCAGATGCGTCTGAATGGCAATTCTGAGATTGCAGGACTTATAGAAAGAGAGTGGGAACCAAGTTCTTATATGGATCATCCCCCAGGCAAAGCTGGATGGAAGGAAAACAGGAGTGGGAATTAGGGTGTTGTAAGAATAAAGCAAGAAGCTGGCAATATCTAGAGGGTCTTAGCCTCGTCATCTCACAAACATTCAGAAAGGATAGCTGGGGAGGCACCTGGGTGGCACAGTCGGTTAAGCATCCGACTTGGTTTCCGCTCAGGTTATGATTTCAGAGTCATGAGACTGAGCCCAAGTCGGGCTACGTGCTCAGCATAGTGTCTTCTTAAGGCTCTCTCTCCCTTTTCCTCTGCCCCTCCCCCTCCTCTCTAAAATAAGTAAATAATTCTAAGAAAGAGAAAGGAAGGGAGAAAGAAAGAAAGAAAAAAAAAGAGGAAGGAAGAAGAAAGAAAAAGAAAGAAAGAAAGAAGGAAAGAAAGAAAGAAGAATGAATAGCTGGCCTTTGGGTACAGTGCAGGTGCAACCAGTTTCTAATCCCAGGGGACTTCACAAGCATCGGGAGATCTGGTCTGCTATTGTTATTGGTAGAGGTGAATCAAAATCTGCCTTGGGTATTTTGAGAACTACTGGATGGACAAAGGACAAGTACAAGGGGCAACCTTCTATGCTATTTTCAATTCCATTTCCACATTTTGAGATGATTCCATTAATCTCCTTTAAAGAAACTTCTGGAGGCAGCCAAAGGGGTCTAGGGTTCTGAACAGTACCCGGAGGGTGGAGGTGTACTGAATTACTTTTTTGCAAATACTCTCCCATATTACAACAAGAACTAACGTTCAGTGCTAACACTATTTTTGAGCTTTGTATGGATTACATTATAGACATTGCTATAACCCTGTGAGGTAAGTGCTATTTCTTTCTGCTATTTTTTTTTTCTTAAAGATTTTATTTATTTATTTGAGAGTGAGAATGAGAGAGCATGAGAGTGGGAGGGTCAGAGGGAGAAGCAGACTCCCCGCCGAGCAAGGAGCCCGAAGCGGGACTCGATCCCGGGACTCCAGGATCATGACCTGGGCCGAAGGCAGTCGCTCAATCAACTGAGACACCCAGGCGCCCCATCTTTCTGCTATTTTTACAGATGAGGAAACTGAAACCCAAAGGGCTTAAGTAACCTGATCAAGCAGAAATGTCTAGGAAGCCAGAGACTAGGACTAGAATTCAGGCTTCTGACTACAGAGCCCTACTGTGTTCTCTGTTTGCCTCTTAGGTGTCCCATTGAATTATAATTGATCTTTGATGCCTCCTCACTGGTCTGTACACTCCCTGAGGGCAGGGCCCTGGTTTTATTATCTGTACCCACAGATGAGCCGCCTCCTCCCATGCCCCATCCCGTTGGTATCCCCATTGGTTGACTTGGTTCCGTTGAGGAAGTCCATGTGGCAACATGAGCTGACCTCACATTGGTGGCTCCAAGTCAGAACCCAAACATTCTGTAGGGAGCAGAGTTTCTTAGTTCCCTATAAATATAGGGCAGATACTACACTATAGCTAAATATATCCTTTCATGCGTATGATAAAAGACTAACAGTTTTGGAGTGATGGACAAGGTTCAAAGTTCTTTCACCTTTCTAGTTTTGTTTTTAATGGAATGCCCACTTCTTTTATGCTTGCCTTATGGAGGTGAGTTCCAACCAGTTGAACTAGCAACAGACTTAATGGGTAGCTTCAACCATTGTTTTTACTTGTTTCAGGGGAAATAAAAAGGGGTAATTACATTTCACTGCTACAAGTTTTCTTTCAAAGGCTACAGATAGTCACAAACATCCACAAATGTCACTAAACAGGAAGGTGTTTTCTCAGGACTCAAGTCATTGTTTTACTCATTCGGTGAAATGAAAACCATAGTCTGGGGTCCTCCTATTTACTATATGAATGTGTCTTTTCTTGTGTATTTGTTAGTAGCATGCTCCATACAATAATATAATTAGATAAGCATTGCTTGGAAATTAGTCTGATATTATTCTCTCTCTGTAAGCTGTGCTTCCTTTTTAGGAATTACTGTGCTTCTCTTTCATTTCACTTAGCACACACAGAACTTTGACTGCCTCAGGATCTTTTGAATGTGTCTGTATGACTTTAACTGTAATTTGGGGGATGTTTTGGCAGTAGACCGTAGGAATCCAGATACAGATGCTTTGCAAGTGTAAAATGTTCTTTATAATCATCTGTCTTCTATGCTTTGCATTTTGAGTCCCCAAACTCAAAGTTTATCTCAAAACAGAGAAACTGACCCTGACAATTGGGGAAGTCAGGCAGTAACTTTGTGAAGATATGTGGTACTTATAAACAATCTCTATTCCGTACAAGGGAAATGCTATCTGCACCATATAACAGCATCTAATTTCTGTAGGAGGAGAGAATATTGCCATGGGGCCCTCCCTGGCCCTGGCTCTCTGACCCCTGATGACAGCACAGACCCCTTCAAATCCGTCAAGTCCTCAACCGGCTCATGTGACTGCAAAAACAGACCAGAAGCCAAATGCATTATGTTCTTAACTCTCCATATTCATGAAAGGAAACGCTGGATGCAAACAGAACAAATTGCCGATTAAGCCACCTATTTCTATGAGGCATTGTAATAAATTTATTCACAGCATTTACCTTCTTAGCTATTAGGTCCCCTTGTCTGATACCAAGTTATTTATTTATTTATTTATTTATTTATTTATTTATTAGATTTTATTTATTTATTTGACAGAGAGAGACACAGTGAGAGAGGGAACACAGGCAGGGGGAGTGGGAGAGGGAGAAGCAGGCTTCCCGCAGAGCAGGGAGCCCGATGCGGGGCTCGATCCCAGGACGCTGGGATCATGAGCCGAAGGCAGACGCTTAACGACTGAGCCACCCAGGCGCCCCGATACCAAGTTATTTATTTTCCTAAATCTGTCTTAAACTTGTGTCTTCTCTCTGATCCCTTTGAACGGCCTTCTAGCTCTGAGACCTACTATACCCAGGCAATTCCCAGGGCATAATGGTAAGTCAAGGGATCTGGGAGGGTGGCTGGGATTCAGGGACATTTCCCAAAGCTGTTGTGGTGTCTGGTTCTAGAGGGCGCCCCACCCACAGTGGTCATCACTAATCTGTACAGCCCTTTCTGCAAATTAGAAAAAGGAATGCCCTCTGGATGGTTGGTTTTGTTGAGGCCACTCAGAGCAGGTTAGAAAATAGCACAGATGTCAAAGTGTCAGGAAATACAGAAAATCTTAAAAACAATTAATACATGCAGCCATCCCAAACACATTATCAGTTTTTTTTTTTTAAGATTTTATTTATTTGAGAGAGAGAATGAGACAGAGAGAGAGAGAGCATGAGAATGGGGAGGATCAGAGGGAGAAGCAGACCCCCCGCCGAGCAGGGAGCCCGATGTGGGACTCGATCCCGGGACTCCAGGATCATGACCTGAGCCAAAGGCAGTCGCTTAATCAACTGAGCCACCCAGGCGCCCACATTATCAGTTTTTCTAAAGCTCAGCTATGAATATCTCACTTCCTGTTTACCCCCCTACCGCCAAAGCCCAGAGATTGAATTCTTGCTAAGGTAGCAGGAGACCTGCATTCTAATCTTTACTTTGAAACTAACTTGTGTTATGAGCTTGCACTAGAGCTTTGCTGAGACCTCTGCTGTGCCTGAGCTTTGGATCCAAGGTCAGGTTCCAATGTGGAGTTAGAGGACAGAATTGTTTTAGATCATTGGAAGACTCCAATTTTCTCTGTAACCCTTAGCTCTTGGTTATATGGAAAGATGCCTAATTCATAATAAGGGAAATACACATCCAAGTTTTCAGCTATCATGTTGAAAGTGGACAAAATGTTTCATTAAAAAAACTTGCAAAGGAGTTGGGAAATATAATCTCTTGCTTTTTTTTTTTTTTTTTTAAGTAGGCTCCACGCCCAGTGTGGAGCCCAACGCGGGGTTTCAACTCACGACCCTGAGATGAAGACCTGAGCCGAAATCGAGAGTCGGACGCTTAACCGACTGAGCCACCCAGGCGCTGCTAATCTCACATTTTTTTTTAATTGAAGTATAGTTAACGTATAATATCCTATTAGTTTCAAGTGTATATAATCTCATATCTTGTGTGTAGGCAAGGAATGAGTGCAGCTTCTGTAGAGGGCAATTGGCAATCCTTATAAATATAAAAGGAACATATTTACTTTTTGGCCCAGAATATTGAAATATACCTGGGATTTATTTTAATTAGGTATGGTAAGACATACAGACACAGAAATGATTGTTCATGAAGGAAGAACTTTATACTCACAGATTCCTAGAAGCAGGAAGCAGGGGAAAAAGAGGGAAGAGCATGGCCCATTGTCTTTATTGGTATTTTCATGGGAAGGAATGGGTGAGGTGGGGTAGGTACACAGAGTAGTGGAGAGTTGGAATGATTTTGGTGGCCTCTGGGCTATAGGAATGGTTCCTAGTTGTCCAGCACCTGGCCCTGGGATAATTTAGGGCAGGGGGAACATTGGCTTGGTGTGTGAGAGGTAGCTGGGGCTGTGGACTCTGGATTGGTTGGTGTGTATCAAAGGCATGCTCGCAGGGGAGTTGTCCGTGAACTGTAGGAAATAGCTAACCCTGGGAAGGACAGTCTGTCCAGGATCAAAACCTCAAATGGGAGAGCATCAAAAATACAAAAAATAGGAAAGCCTGGCTGGCTCAGTCGGTGGAGCATGCAACTCTTGGTCTCGGGGTTGTGAGTTCGAGCCCCACATTGGGTGCAGAGATTACTTAAAATACCTTTAAAAAATACAGAAAATAAAATATAGTCAATATACCCAGAAATTTCATTTCTAGGAAACTTTATTAAAAAAATATATTTCTCAGAGGAGCGCCTGCGTGGCTCAGTCGGTTAAGCATCTGCATTCGGCTCAGGTCGTGATCCCGGGGTCCTGGGATCAAGTCCCGCATCGGGCTCCCTGCTCTGCCTGTTGCTCCCTTTCCCTCTGCCTGTTGCTCTCCCTGCTTGTGCTCGTTCTCTATCAAATAAATAAATAA